AAAAAAAAAAAAAAAAAGCCTTTCTAGTTCTGAAACAGTTTGTTGTTATTGGGCTCTATAATATAAACATTTGATAAATTTGCTTATCTTCAAGAAGAACTTAGAAGAAGTTTCTAGGTTTGGGAAAGTAAGCTTAACAAAAGATAAACTTCTGGGGCTGGAGAGATGGCTTAGTGGTTAAGAGCACCAGCTGCGCTTCCAGAGGACCCAGGTTCCATTCCCAGCACCCACAAGGCAGCTTACAACTGTCTGTAAGGTCCAGTCTCCTCTTCTGGCTTACAAGGGCACTAGATAACACGTGGAGAATACATGCGGGCAAAACGTCAATATACTTCAGGTTTTAAAAAAAGAAATCTTTGTTTTGTTTGTTTGTTTTGAGACGGTTTCTCTGTGTAGCCTTGGCTGCCCTGGAACTTACTCTGTAGCCCAGGCTGGCCTCGAACTCAGAGATCCACCTGCTTCTGCCTCCTTAGTGCTGGGATTAAAAGCATGTGCCATCACACCTGGCTGGAAAAAGTTGTTTGTTTTTTTTTAAGATAAAATTCTGTCTACAGGTATGGAGAGATGGCTCAGAAGTTGAGAGCACTGGCTGCTCTTCCAGAGGTCCTGAGTTCAATTCCCAGAAACCACATGGTGGCTCACAGCCATCCATAATGAGATCTGGTGCTCTCTTCTGGTGTGCAGGCATACATGGAGGCAGAATGTTGCATACATAATAAATAAATCTTAAAAAAAAAATCTGTCTGCCAATTGAACAAACACTAACTTGTGGATTGAGGCCTGAGTGAGCACCCGAGCGCCATTAGCGTTTCAGTGACTTCTTCAGAGCACACACAGGTAGACTAGAGTGACACTGAGCATTTGTATGCATTCACGTGTAAAAAGAAAATGGTGCTGGTCTTAGGAAGCCACTGCAGGGTCAGCTGTTGCTTTGGGTCGTAGACCTCTGCCTTACACTGCTCACGTAAGTGAATGGGGGAGTTGGCTCAGTCAGAAGGTGTAACATCACAAATTGTGTGTCTGTCAAGTAGACTTAGAGGAGATAGAGCCCTGTCTCTGTGGATGGACTGCAGTGTTCCAGTTTCCTTTTTGGTGACAGCAAAGCGAAGAACCACTTGTTGGTATAGCACAGTGCCTGAGTCTCCAGCCTGCTTGTGATCCGCACTCAGGATAACCTTGGGTTTCCTAGGGAAGGTTTGTTCTGTGCAGTCACGGGTGGCTATTTTAACTTGCTGCCGTCTTTTGTGTCTCCCTTTGTAGAACGATGTAAGGGAGAAGCAGAAGACTCTGGTGGGACAGCTCCTGTCCTTGCTGAGCAGCTCCCCGGGGCCTCCCACTCGCAGACTCCTGGCTCACAATCTAGCCGTACTTTATAGTATTGGAGACACATTTTCTGTGTATGAGACAATTGATAAATGCAATGATCTTATTCGTAGCAAAGATGACTCTCCAAGTTACCTTCCCACCAAACTGTAAGTTAAACATTAGAACCTAACAATACAAAATACTGTTTCCTTGTGTGATTTTCTAAAGTATGTAGATATACTAATAATAGCCTATTTGACACTCGTTTTGAAATTGAGCATAAATTCATTTTGTTTTGATTTCTCTTTTATTTATTTTTTTCTTTTATTTTATGAGACAGGGTCTCTCTAAGTAGTACTGGCCATCCTGGAACTCCCTATGTAGATTTGCCTGGCCTTGAACTCAGGTCTGCCTGTGTCTGTCTCCTGAGTTCTAGCATAAAGGCGTTTGCCACCGTGCCCAGCTTGATTTCTAATCTATAAAAACAAAACAAAACAAAAAAACAACATTTATCTTGGCAGTGGTGGCACACACCTTTAATCCCAGCACGTGGGAGACAGGCAGAGGCAGGCAGCTCTATGAGTTTGAGGCCAGCCTGGTCTACAGACCAAGTTCTAGGACAGCTAGAGCTACACAGAGAAACCTGTCTTGAAAAACCAAACCAAACAAACAAACAAAAAAAAACTCACAATATCTTCCTGTCAAGAAAGTCCTTTTAAGCATATTTTAGGGGAGCTGGAGAGATGGCTCAGCAGTTAAGGTCCTTGTTGCTCTTACAGAAGACTCAGCTTCAATTCTCAGCATCCACATGTTTGTTGGCTCACAACTACCTGTAGCTTCAGTTCCAGGGAATTCAGGGACCTCTTTTCATCTCCACAGGCACCAAGAGTACATATGATACACATACACCCATGCAAGCAAAACACCCATAAAATAATTTTAAAAAATTAGAGGCTAAGAATCCATACCTCAGTAGTAGAACACGTGCCTAGCATTCAGAAGGCCCTGGATTAAGTAACAATAGGAGTAAGATGGAATGTCACTCATGGCCTTTCCTTTAATTCCTGATACTGGAATTAATAACAATAACGACAATAGCAAAGACTGATTAAGACATGGTAAGTTGCTGGGTGGCGGCGGCCCTTTAATCCCAGCACTCAGGAGGCAGAGCCAGGTGGATCTCTGTGAGTTCAAGGCCAGCCTGGTCTATAGAGCGAGATCCAGGACAGGTACCAAAACTACACAGAGAAACCCTGTCTCGGAAAAAAAAAAAAAAAAAGACAGGGTAAGTCCAGCTTTGAGATTGAAAACGTCTCCCTAAGTGTTTGGTAGGTGAGTGTTGAAGAATGTGTTTGCAGTTCTTCAGAGTTTGTTTATTCTTTTATTAAGTTCTTAGTAAACTAAGACAAAAAATATAAGGGAATGATAGTTCATCACAGTTAAAAGCATTTTAGGGAGGTGGAGAGATTCCTCTTGGGAAGGCCTTCGTTAGATTCCTGTCAGCATGGTCAGGCAGCTGACAACTCTGTAACTCTGGCTCCAGGGCAAACCTGATCCCCCTGTGGCTTTTGTGCGCACTGCACTCACACGCAGAAACGCAGACACGGGCGTACATATACCTGCATAATTTTTTAAACTTTAATATCCGAGCATACTTCCTAAAAGTAGAGCCACCAGGAATGGCAGGAGTCTTAATAGTCATGTTTACATAGTGCTAAGATGTTTATACCACCAGCCCTTCTTGGTCGTGACTTGGTTTCTGATTTCAATGTTGTTTCAGTGCTGCTGTGGTGTGTTTGGGTGCCTTGTACAAGAAGTTGGGTAGAATACTGGCTAATGCCTTTGCTGATACAGTGGGGAATATTCTTAAAGCCATGAAGAGTGCAGAGGTAAGTGCAGCTGAAGAATTCCACGCTCACATCTTACGTGTTTGTGTCTGCTGGAGCTAGTAAAAGGTTTGCATTCTTGAAGCATGCAGAGGTATCTGTGTGTCTTTATCTGTAAATTAAATATGTCTCGATTGTGTGTAATGCCTGGAAAATAGGTGAGTTATTCTCATTGGAAAGGAATAAGCAGTGCGTAGCTAGAGGGAAAGGCATGGGGGTGGGGGACGAGGACCTAGAGGGCCTTTTAATGCCAGGCCAACAGTATAGTCTCGGCTTTTTCCTCTTGATACTGCACATTATCCCTGGAGCACCTTTTGTTTTTAAGACTGACTTAATTTAACTTCCAAGATCCTGTAATCTCTCAACAACTATAGTTCTACCAGTTTTTAAATTAAACCAATTGGAAGCGGAATAAAACAAATTAAATTAAACAATTAAAACAAATGGAAGCGGAGATTCCCAACAAGCCCCACCTCCAGACAAAGAACTGCACACAACCTCTGTGTCTTGAGAGAATTAGTACTAACCAGTGCTGAGCCCATTTGTTATCCAGGACAAGTGGTCAGCCCTGAAGTCATACGTATGAGCAAGCGCGAAAAGGACTCAGCAGGGTGTGTCTGTGTGTCTGTGTGTGTGTCTGAGTTTTTTATTTTTATTTTATGTGTATGAGTGTTTTGCCTACATGTATGTATGTGTACCACATGCATGCCTGGTGCTCCTTGAAGGCCAGAAGAGGGATTGGATCCCATGGAACTGGAGTTACAGATGATTGTGAACTGCTATGTTGGTGCTGAAAATTGAACCTGGCTCCTCTGCTAGAGCAGTCAGTGCTCTTAACCGATGAGCCATCTCTCCAGTCCCCCCCGCCCTTTTTTCTTCTTTTTGATGGTGAGATTGGATGCAGAGCCTGGTGCTTGCTAGACAAGAGCTTTTACTGAGGTACAGCTATGGGTCAGGTTTGAGCCTCACAGAGTGCTGGGATTCTGTTATAGTGAGATGTAATATGTACAGATAGTACTTTTTAAATAGAAAAGTAAATGATTAATGTTTATTTGTTTTGTTTGTGTTTTGAGACAGGGTTTCTCTCTGTAACTCTGGCTGTCCTGGAACTTGCTCTGTAGACCAGGCTGGCCTCGAACTCACAGAGATCTGCCTGCCTCTGCCTCCTGAATGCTGGGATTAAAGGCATGTGCCATCACTGCTGGTCAGTGTTTCTTAGTGTCAGAATAAATTGGTCAGTACATAAAGAAACCTGAATTTTCTTCCATCTGAAGTAAGCACAGTGTGTAATGCTGCCCTCTGTGTGGACTTTCCACTGTTCTTTACATTGTTCTTTTCTTTCTGGCAGTCTCAAGGCCGCTATGAGATCATGCTGAGTCTTCAGAGCATGCTGACTGGACTGGGTGCTGCTGCTGCACCTTGCCACAGGGATGTTTACAAAGCTGCTCGGTCCTGCTTAACAGACAGGTCCATGGCTGTCCGCTGTGCTGCTGCCAAGGTAAATCACCTAACTGCCACTTGCCTAAACAGTAGACTGAGCGCATTAGGCTCAGCCACATGTTGCTAGAGTTGTAGCCTTGGAAATTAGCTCATGGGGTCTGGTGCTGACATGTGTGGAACCACAGGCCAGAGGGTTAGATGAATTTCCCAAGGTTCATTGCTGTACCATATGCATTGCCAGGATAGGAAGGGCAAGTTTCCACACTTCCAGATGCATTCTGTTTGCCGTGTGTCCCCTCTGTACATGTGTGAACTAGATGTGTGTGTTAAGAGTTATTATTGTTCCAGATTAGTTTCATTTTTAAAAAGTTATCCTTGACACAGTTGACTGGGCAGTACAGTGAAGTCACTTGTTATTGCTGGATTTATTACTATAGTTGTCATATTTAACAGGTTGTCTCTAAAGGTGTTGTTTTAATGTGCTCTGGGAAGTAGAGGGGGTTGTCCTCTCACTTTGCTTTGTTCTTACGTATATGAGTTTTAATAGTTCCTGGTTGTTCCTGTATACATATAAAATACTGTGAAATTGTGTTTTTGTTAGACCATTGTATTTCTACAACTCAGATAACACCTGACATTTATATTTTGTGTTTTCATTAACTTGTGTGTACATTTGCATAGTGTCTTCTTGAACTCCAGAATGAGGCCATCTTTATGTGGAGCACAGACCTGGACAGTGTGGCCACACTATGTTTTAAGTCCTTTGAAGGTTCCAATTATGATGTGAGGATTTCAGTTTCAAAGCTACTGGGCACAGTGTTGGCTAAAGCTGTAATTGCTAAGCATCCAGGAGCAGGTAAAGTTATTAATTATTTTCAGAGTGTCTTCTTTAACTCTCCTCTATTGATAAATACATGTAGCATTACAGCTACCCATCCTTAATATTTGAAAAACAGAATATAAGTCAGTTGCCATTTATAAACATTGCTATGGGTCCTAAGATGTCATTCTCAAATGATTCAGTAAAAGAAATTAGGATAAAAATCCAAACAATTCTTGAAGTGTAGTGTGCTTTATTCAGTTATTGTCTTTTTGAAAAATGAATTTTGGCTGAGTGTGGTGGAACCACACTTTTAACCCCAGCACTCAGGAAGCAGAGGCAGGCAGATCTCTGATTTCGAGGCCAGCCTGGTCTATGAATCAAGTTACAGGACAGTCAGGACTACGTAGAGAAACCCTATCTCAAAAGAAACAAAACAAAACAAAAAAAGAATATTGATGTAATTGTGTTATTTCAATGAGACATAAAACCAAATTTTGAAAATTATTTTAAGGCTATATTTTATTACATTTGGTTTGTTATTTTCTAGGGTGGTATAAAGGCATAGATTGGATAATTTCAAACAGATGTATGGAATTTATTCTGTTTGGACAGTTTTGTTTTGTTAGTTTCATTCCCTCTTTATATTCTCTAAGCAGTAAGTGAGGAAGTGCCATTTTTAAAAACAAAGATTCCAGGTGGTGGTGGCGCACGCCTTTAATCCCAGCACTCGGGAGGCAGAGGCAGGCGGATCTCTGTGAGTTCGAGGCCAGCCTGGGCTACCATGTGAGTTCCAGGAAAGGC